CCAGTAGGATCCCATGGTCTGCTCCTCGGGGATCACATCGTGATTCTGCGGATCACCCATCTCGCCTTCTTCTTCTTCTCCGATCTGTAGCTGTGTGAGCGCTTCCTCCGCAGCCAGTCGCGCCTTTAGAGCCCGCTTGAAGTTCCTACAAGTTCGTTCAAGCTCCTGGTCTAATGGTAGTAGATCTCCCGACTGGCTACGGGTCATGCACTACCTGCACACACTCAGAAGAAACAACCCGTGAAGGCACACAGGTGGAAGAAAGAAAATGCAGAAAATAAAAGCTAGAGTAACAAATTCTCACGTTTCCCCAATAACCTAGAGGTTCCCCGGCAACGGCGCCAAAAACTTGACACGCTAAAACACAACACCTAACAATGGCCAAGTGTAACCACTGAAAGGGACTGCAGCATAGGCAAGTTTAATTATCAACCCGGGGTCTAGATCTACTGCTTACTCCGTGATTCTCTATTATCTAGCAAACTAAGTCGAGTGTTTGTTGTTTAAAAGCAAAAGCAGTAAGAAAGCAGGAAATGGTTCGGTTTTCAAAAGCAGTTAAGAGTCACTCGGGATTGAGTCCCCCTAGCCCCTTGGTTAGGTTCAATTGCAATTCCCTGGATTGATTTACTGTTGATTAGACTGCGGAAGATCCGACAGTAGCTTGGAATCTCTTAAGCTGACCAAGCCCTCTCAGTCTAACTACCCGGCAGACGACTAGTCTTCACCGGGATAGAAAGCTGAGGCTATAAACACAGAACTCCACTACTGGCGTTAAGAACACCAGTACAAAGCAGTAAACTGGCTAACTCTCGTATAGCCAATCTCCTACTATCGAATGAAGAAGCTCTAACAACCTAATCAGATTCTATCTATCTCAGGTTGAAGCAGAAATTGAAACAAGCTGATCAGACTCAAATCAATTCATGAAACATGCATCATTCGATTAAAATCAAACGATAATATCATCCCAAGTCATTACAATCAAATCCCTAACACAAGGAACTAGGGTTCTTCATACCCAAGTGAGAGAAAGGTTCTACTCCATAGAGAGAGAAAGGAAAACAGAAATCAGAGTAGTCATACTCATAAAGATGAGGAAAATCTGCTCTGGGATGTCAATCTTCACTCCTAGGGACGCAATCTGGGCTTCAATGATGAGAAATCCACTCCAAGATAGCTCCTAGGGTTTGTTCTTCGCTCTTTCTCTCTCTAAAACTCTGTTTTTGCCCAGAAAATCGAAATCCCTTCTCTTTGGCTGAAAATCTGCCTAAAAGGGCGTCACTGGCCAAAGCACTGTCGAGGGCACGGCCGTGCTTTGCCTCAGCCCGCCCGTGCTTTGGCCAGGGTTAATTACACGGCCACATGTTGGTGAAAACACGGCCGTGCTTTAGTGAGAACACGGCCGTGCTTTGGTGAAAACACGCCCGTGCTTTGTCTCAGCCCTGCCCGTGTAATCAGCTCATGTCTGCCAAACTCGGATTTGCTCTCGGCAGTAAAAGCACGGTCACAGAACACGGCCGTGTTTTGAAGGCCTCCTGCCCGTGTTTTTACTGCCGAACCTGTTCCCCTATATTCAATGCTTCGTTTCTCCCTCGTCCGGACTCCGAATCAGTCACCGTTTGATCCCAGACGCTCGTAGTCTCGTCCTCTTTCTTTTCATGACAAGCTTGCACGATTCTTTGTCCATAAAGTGAGGTAGAAATCCATTCTTCTTCAGGTCATGCCAGAGTTTCTTCTCCCGAATCGCCAATTTCTCTGATTGACTTGAAACTTGCGCCTATGCTTCACTTTATGTGCTAGGACCTGAAATGTGACAAAGGAACACAACCTAGCGTAAAATAGGCCAAGGAAAAATCAATTCGAGCCAAAATGGGCAGGAAACCAGAGTGAAAACACGTGCAAATACGATGCTATCAGTGTTCAAACCAAAATAAGCGGTTGCTAGAACACAAGTAAACAAATTAAGCACACAGTAAAGGTACTTACCACAAAGAAGCACCGCACAGTGGCTCCAGCAAGGTGGCAAGTATCGGAGGTCAGTGCAGGGGTGCCAGCAATCCGGGTATACTCGCTAGTAACCGCGAACCCTTCAGCGATCACATGCATAGCGCGCCTAGCCAGTTTGAAAGAGGAAGTCACGTGCGGGGAATAGACCATGCTCGAAGAAAGCTCCGTTGTCTTCTACCTCTTATGGCTGGAGTAGGCGGCAAGGGGTTCGGAGCGGGGCTTTTCGATCAGAATGCCTTTCATCCTTTGCTGCTCTGCTGGCGGCTGCTTCTCTTTTGTCACCTCGGCATCTAAGGGACGCTTGTTGGCACCACGACCCACTCCCTGGCCAGTGGGAACAGGTAGCTTGAGATTGCTCGAACGGCCCATGGCTAAGTGGGACTGAGTGGAGCCGCCAGCAGCTCGCTGTCCCTCCGAGCCCCCCGAAGTTGAAGGATCCGCCAATTGTGAACCGCTCACGCCTACCTTAGGCGGTCTCATTGAAGACGCATACCGCCAGATGCCTGCAAAGTAAATACATAAGTAAATGACATGAGAAAACAACATCCTATTAAAACCAAGGAGAACTAACTAACCGTGGAAACACCGCACAATCTCAAGGGCGTTATCATGCCCATGCTGGGGTAACCGAAACTGGACGGTCGACATGATACGCTTCATATGAGGCTTAAGGTGATGGAGCTCCTTGACACCTGTGTCCCAGTCGTCTTTGTTCCTAATTGCGTACCCAATTAGCGGCTCATCATCACCTGAGTACCACTTCCCAGTTGGGCGAGCGAAAAAATACTCGGTGTACCAAGGGGAATCCAGCTTGGGTGACCCATAGACAAACCCCACGCGCTTCTCGCGCCTCCGACAGGACCAACAATTATTGGAATCGCTCATGACATACATAAGGCGGAAAGCATCAATGGAGGGCTTCTCTTTGAGCCGGTCGCAAGCCGATCGATAGCAGAGGGAATGAAAAATGATGGAAGGAGAAAGGCGGCTCAAAGAGCAGTTGAGATGCAAAAGAATCTCGGTGAGAAGCGGGTCTAGAGGAAATTCCAAGCCCAACCGCACGTATTCTGTATAAATAGTGATCCACCCAACTGGACACGACTCGCAGCGACCGGCTGGAGAAGGGGCGGCGTATTCCCAGTCAGTTGGCAGCTGATGCCTCTTAAGTTGTTTGAGCACTTGCGCGGGGGAGTATGCGGGATCATAGGGCGGTCTGTAACCGTATACAGCATCGGGGACCTCCTCACCTTCCCACATGTCTTCATGCAGGCTTTAAGAGTGATTTGCAACTTCTTGAAGGGGTGGACGAGAGGCACTTCCAACAGCGCCAGGGAAGGAGAATCAGCAACAGAATCCTCCCTGCCCAAGTCATCAGGAACATCTCTCGGAGCCAAAGTCAACAAGGTTGTCACCAACCCTCGAGATAGCGTCGCGCTCGGACAAAGAGGTAGTCGTGTCGATTAAAGCGCCCCCTATAACCCTAAAACACAACAGTCAGGCCTATCTAAATGCTCCCTCATTTCGACGACATTACCGAAATCGCATAGCAATTCAATACCCTCTGAGTCCCAATCTATGTCAGATAAGTTTAGGGAAGAAGAAAGATCTTTCATATCTGCCAGTGCTGTTCCAACGGAAGGACCGCTCGTGCCGGCGGCTTTGGGAGCCAAGCGTGACGCACCAGCTCCGCCAACGGAGGCTGGGGCGCCGCCGGAGGCGATGGTCATCACAACGCCAGAGGCGATGGCTGTGACGGCGTCAGAGGCGGTGGTCGTAGAAATGTCGGAAGCAGAGGATAGCGGTACATCGCCAGAAAGGTTGCAATTCTGGCTATCAGAGGGGGTAGTAGATCGAGAACTGATAGCCATTAGAAACTTCCGCTTCTTCCTCTTCGATCGTTTTTTATATCGCCTCAAAGAAGTGAGATAGGCAAATCGCTCAGCCAAAAGGAAGGGATGTGTTTTCAAGTAACGAGAAAGCGAAAACCTAGAGCATCGAGCTATTTTGAAAAAGATGGATAGAGAAAGAAGCAAATGCGGAGTATTTGAAGAGGAACAGTTTTTTCGAATATATAGCAAAGGAAGAGGGGCGATGTGACGGTTGCGTGCCCGAGGCAGAGACCCTAGTCTACAAATTCAAAAAAAAGGGCAATGAAAGGACGACTAGCCTGCTCGCTGTCAGAGCTAAGGAATCAAGCCTCGCCACGTGTAACGCGTCTCCAACCAGAACACCCACAAGGCGGCCAAGGTAAGGCCTAGGCAGGTCAACCCAAGGTCTTCGATGACTAGGGGCATAAGGTATGATATGGACAAGGTGCGAACCATTCAATTAGCTAGGAATGTTCTCAGTAGCCGCCAAAAACCTAGGCTTTTCCCGCCATAGGGGCAATTGTTGGGCCGCGTAGTTGAGCGTACTTGGGCCTCGGGCCCAGGAGGAGCAAAGTAGCAAACAAGGCCCAATAGAGCGTCTAGCCCATCCAGAAAGACCAGGACAACAGGCGTTCCTTGACCGACTAGGCCCGAGGAGTAGCTAGGGCGCCTGACATAAAGCGACTGGCTACGACAGAAAGTAAAGATCCGTTGAGATACGTACGTCGGGTTGGGTAAGACTGAGCATTTATTACCCGTTGCAGGCGGCCCGCATAGGGAATAGGTCTGCTCGGGGTGCCTGACATAGGATTTAATGTCTCAACCACCAGACCAGGTATAAATGCACCATGAGAGCATTGATGGAAAACTCAACTACTCTCTATCTCTCTATCTCTCTACCATAAACATATTCTCTCATACTTCTCTCTCTAACTTAAGCTCCGGAGAGTGTCCTGGGCAACCGCCCACGGACCCTTATTTCGCAGGGAATCTGGAGTGCACCCTCTATCCAAGAACAGACGCCTTGCTCTCGCTCTACAAACCGCCTAGGATCTACTAGGCACAAACACCTTTCCAACATCATTCTTCCTGCATATATGTGACGCATCCAATACACCTTTCCGTTCAAAGACACCGTATCAGGCTGCAATAGACGATCCTTTCTTTCCTTGACCATTTACGGGACTTGGAACAAAACACTTGTAAATCTGAACAAGTTCCCGTCATTGTATGCGCTTCATATCCAATCAGAACGTGGAATTGATATTCTGAATACAGAAACACTTGGCCGTCACCCAGATCCAAGGTACTATTAGCCTTCAGGGCTTCTTGATAGACCAATTTCACTTTCGTTGTTTCGTTCGAACTGTTTATCTTTTCAGGCGCCAAAGGAAGGGCGACCCATTTCTTTGTAAACGGATTGCAAATCAAGAACGATCTGAGAAGTTCGCCATCCTCCTCCCACCACGATCCCTGGAACCCACACAGAACATCCGGCACGGGGAGGAAGCTCAGGATCGACGACGATAGGGGGTCGTTTGAGGTGAGACGCAGAGGGGTTTCTTTGTTGCTGCTCTGGTGGTGAGATAGGAAGCGGCGATTGAAGTAGGGACTGGAGATCAGGGAGTTCCACCGCTTGTATACTGGTTTGCAGTTGCAGGTGGATTTAGGGTTTGGGAGGCGAATGAGGATTTCTTCGAGGAGATCGTCTCCCAGTTTGCTGATGGGGTGGTTGGTGCTTTGAATGGGAGTCGTAGGATTTTTCTGGGAGGGCAATCGTGCTCAACACTATTTTCCAACCGACGCTTCTTAGCCCACCTGTAACTTTTGCTGGCCACCATTAGTATTCCCGACGGAAAGGAAGAACAGGGATGGAACCAATCTCTCTGTTGCCTGAGAAAAACAGAGGCGTAGACGATGAATTAGCAAGAGAGGGATACACCACTTCTAAATTCTAATAGTGTACGCACGGAGCTGCTTTTCCCCTACTCCTAACCGGATTTTGTGCGTTCCGTAATGCTAGGTCGAACCTTAATATGGCCGAGAAATCGTGGATTGGTCGGCCCACTTCTGACATTGGCTATTTGTTGGGCCCGATTTGACCGAATTGTATTTTTTTCATTTTTCCATTTTGTTGAGAAATAATCAAATGAAATCCATTGCATCAAATTGATAAGTTTCTATATGAACGTCATTTTTCTTGCATTAATAAAATCCTATCAACTTTATTTTTACTAGCTTATAAAGATACCCGTTGGCAGGTGTGTCGGTCCATAAAAATAATTTAATAATTAAAAATAAATATTTTATTCGTTATGTTTACACTGAACCATGAAATTTTTTTATATTATGAAAGATTTCTTAATTATATTTGTACATTAGGTTGCAAATCAAATCTTTTTTATGTAAAGAACCAAAGGGTGGTGTCACGGACATAGACTTCCGAAGTCCGTGCGGCGTCTTGAGGTGCACTCATTCCTCAAGACCAGCCTCTCTGCATACGCATGCCAACTGGTTTCGCCCTGCCTTGGGCTCATCAGGGAGACGGCAATAGCCTCCGACCAGCTGTGCCTTCTCTTGCAACGATCCCCTTCATAGCCACATCCTGACTCGGCTAGATGCGATGCACAGGCAGACAACGCCTTATCGCTAATGTCACCCCCTTTACCCTTCTCATGGCAAGACAACCAGATGGCAGCGTTCTTCAGACGATCAACACGGTCACGACATTTCGGGTCGTGACATTCTCCACCACTCATAATGCAGCATGTCCTCATGCTGGTGAAGAATGCTTCTCTCCGCAGCATGTATTGCAACTCTCGAACCGATTGTGGGCGTCCGCATACGATACCATCCTCTGATGGACAGGCTCCGGTCGCGTCTCTCGCGCTAGCCTGTTGTGCCCCGCGCACATACCGCTTCGCCCCTCGACATCAACCTTCACTCTTTGCTTCTGCTGCGCTAGTACCTCAGTCGACCTTCACCCTACGCTACTCCCAGCGTTTGTACCTCAATCGACCTTCACCCTACGCTCTTGCTAGCGTTAGTTCCTCGGTTGAACGGCATTCTCGGCCGCTGCATCTTCAGCCTGTCGAGGTCCCCCACAACGGCGCAACACATGTGTATCTGCGTCCGGACCGCCTGATATGCTCACCCAGGACCGCCTCTCATTCGGGCATAGGGTCGGCCCATACACGACCTATGCCGTACTGAGAGAGGAACTAGGCTCTTCAGCCTAACCAGGCTCTGATACCATTTGTCACGGACATAGACTTCCGAAGTCCGTGCGGCGTCTTGAGGTGCACTCATTCCTCAAGACCAGCCTCTCTGCATACGCATGCCAACTGGTTTCGCCCTGCCTTGGGCTCATCAGGGAGACGGCAATAGCCTCCGACCAGCTGTGCCTTCTCTTGCAACGATCCCCTTCATAGCCACATCCTGACTCGGCTAGATGCGATGCACAGGCAGACAACGCCTTATCGCTAATGTCACCCCCTTTACCCTTCTCATGGCAAGACAACCAGATGGCAGCGTTCTTCAGACGATCAACACGGTCACGACATTTCGGGTCGTGACAGTGGCCACAGACATCAATGTGAAAGTTTAAATGAGGATTTTGCTGGCACGACGCAGACAATTGGAGGGTGGCGACAAGCGTCAACGTGGAAAGAAACTAGGAAGGAAGTTGGAAAATAATTTTATGAAAAAAGTATGGAAGAAGCTACGGGGAAAAAAGACATGAAATTCACTATCTAATTACTTGACTAAACCAGCTTAATAGTCAATTCAATTTTTATTCAACTTATTGAGGTTATCTCTTAGGTGATAGCTATCTCTCTGAATACTGACTACGTACTAAGTAGCCAATTAATTGTTTATTTTTTTTATAATCACTTAATTAACTACCTAGTCCCAAGTAAGATAACTCCTATATTTTCATATTTTAATAAAATTATGAAAACAAATTTTTTTTAATGCAATAAGGTGTGTCGGTTACAATTATCGAAGGTGTGTCGGACGTCCCATTGACAAATTTTTTATACCGAAAAAATGTGGGTTTCTCACAAAAATTTGGGGCGAAGGTGTGTCGGGTAACACATCTCCCTCAAAGGTAGGTCCGCCCCTGTGTGGGAAGGTTTACAAACTCATCGCCATACCTGCGATTTTCAGATATCCATGAGTAATACCCGTCTCATCAGTTACTCACATTTAATAAAACCATATGGTGACAAATATGGATACTACCCATCCAAAATTATGGAACTTATACGCAAGAGAATGAATTACGGTTTGGTTGCCATCAATTACATTTTAACACTTTGTTTTTTTCTTTTAATTACCCTTCTTTTAGGGCTGCAAATGAGCCAAGCCGCTCGCGAGCAACTCGGCGTTCGAATCGGAAAAAACTCGTTCGACACTCGACTCGTTGTTTAACAAGCCGGCTCGCGTTAGTAAATGAGCCAAGCTTGAGCTAGGCCATGCTCGGCTTGATAAACTCGTGAGCTAGCTTGACTCGATGGCTTGTTGGCTAAGCTCGAGAGCTGGCTTGTTTAAAGCTTGTGGAAGGATTAATTACTCTTCTGAACATGAAAGTTATCTTGTTAATAAGGATCTGTATGGAAGTTAGATGTTATTTTTAGTTTCTAGTGTTATTTTTATCTTTTTAATTTTTAATGTTCTTATTTGTACACATTTTTCAGCAAGAATGGTTTCAAATCGAGTTTATCTTGAGCCGAGCTTGTACTCAGCTTGACAAACTGTATTAATGAGCATTTACCGAGCTCTATCGAGCCGATCTCGATCTGGATTATTTTTAATCGAGTCGAGCTCGAGCTCAAGCTGAATGATCAAAATTCGAGTTCGAGTTAAAAAATTTATAATCGAGTCGAGCTCAAGCTAAGCAAAAACTCGACTCGACTCGTTTGCAGCGCTACCTTCATTCCATTAACAAGTTACAATAGACTATTTATATTTTATACATATAACATAATATCATTGATGGGACGGGGGAGTCCAAAACCATACCCGCCCCATTTCCAACAATCTTTTTGTGGGTTTACCCATACCCTCCCCATAGCCAATCAAAGCGGGGATTCCCCGCGTTGACTGGCTCGGAGGCGGTTGGATACCCGCAGTCATGAGTTTGGTTGCCATCCCTATCGCTCATGGTTCCGAATTTTGAATTTTTTTGTCCTAATCTCGACATGGATGGAAGTAAAGGGTTGCAGGTGCACTGGATATATGGAACGAGGTCATTCCTGTGCACTGTCGATATAACATATATTGTTACAAAACAAAGGGTTCATATTTTTGCATGTCTCGAACTTTACACATACTCGACAGTCAGCATTTTGAATAATTTTTTTTATCTATAATTTATGGTCTCAACTGTTCATCAAATTTATGAAACCAATAAGACACCATAGTGGTCGTGGTGAGATAAAAAAGAGATGACTGAAGCGGTGACTTCTGATTGCAGAGAGTGACTAAACATAGATCTTTATACTAATTCAAGTGACCAATGAGAAATTTTACAATGCTATATAGTATTGGTGCTATAGGTTTTTGCCTTTATGGTACAACTTAAAATTGTACAATTACGTTATGGTACAACTTCAGATTGTACCTATACTTTTTGTACAAATTCTTTTATGGTACAACTTGAACTTGTACCTTTATGTGATGGTACAACTTCAAGTTGTAAATTTGTACCATAACATAATGGTACAAATTGTTTTATGGTACAACCTAAACTTATACATTTAATGTTATGGTACAACTTTAAGTTGTACATTAAAGCATCAATACTATATAGCATAGTAGAAGTGCTCGTGACCAATATGTGAATAACAAAGTAGTTTGACCATTTCTTTAATCCATAAACGCTACTTTACCTTGCTATTATAAAATGATAACGTTGGATAACAATTAGCAAGTGGGGATTACATTTTAAGACGCAAAAGCAAGTAATAATTATTGGGGACAAAGTTGATTTTCTAATATGAGCCAAACTACATTAGCTTCCATTATTACATAACACCATCCAGCGATCAAGAGCATTTACATTGTACACACATAGCAATTTCTTTATGTTGAAAAGCAAAAATAAATAGGTACCTATCGGGAAATTAACTTAATTTTCTTCCCGAATTGACCCAAACCATAATGGCTTCCATTGTACATACCTAGCAATTTCTCATACTAGGAAATGGGTTAGAAAAGCAAGTGGTACTAGACGGAAACACCATCCAATGATCAAGAATCTTATATTGTCTCTTTTTATCAAAGAATTTTACGTTTTCTGTCCTAACCGGCTTGAAAAGCTGACTATCTCTTCTTCCATAAAGCTGACTATCTCTTCTTCCATAACTTACTAACAACATAGCATGTTAAGCAGGAGAACTTCAAACTTCTTTGAATGCTTAGCAAACACATCAATTTTTATGCTCAACTTTTCGGACGTTGTTACGTGTTGAACAACATCTGATAGTAAATATTTCATGTCACATGATCTTTTATTAACCTTACAAATTCTGAAGACATACATGTCATTCAATGGAATCTGATAACCATGCTCATCAAGTTTCAATTCAAGGTGAAGTATATAGTCACAAAGAATCATCTATGACACCGACAAGCGAAAAAAATCAAAGCAGTTATTTGAAGAATTCAATGAATTCGACATCGTAGATCGTTTTTGTAATTCATCAAAAGTTTAAATTGATTTTTTACTCTGAACCAAATCATTGTAGCTTCCGTTATACATACCCAGCAATTTCTGATAGCTAGGAATTGGTGTAGGGAAGCAAATGACTCTAGGCTGGAAAACCTTCCAACGACCAAAAGCGTCATATCGTATTTGGTCGGCTACAAGCTCTAACTTTTCCGTCCTGAAATTGCACGAATAAACGGCAGTCTCATGGTAGAATTTTAAGAACAAAACTTCCGGCTTCTCTAGATGCTGAGCGAGCAGAGATAAAACTTTCAGACCAACAACTTCGGGACGACTATTACGTATTAGCGTCTCCAACCGCGTTTCATAACATGTGGTCCATGTCCTACTACCTTCTTCCCACCTCTGAATTGTCCAGACCTGCTGGTATCTGATCATAGATACGTACAAGGCACCATTTGAGGTTGAGAAATGATGAATATCAGCAGTTCCCTGAACGAAGTAGATACGATCATCAACCTTGGTTGGACGTACGTTTAGGCGGAAGGGATCAAACCTTTCTAACGTTGTTTCGTAGAGTCCGCGACGTATCCAATACCCCTTCCCGTTCAAAGACACCGTATCAGGTTGCAGACGACGATCCTTTCTCCTCCTCGACCATTTACGGGACTTGGAACAAAACACTTGTAATTCTGAACAAGTTCCCATCTCTGAATACGTTTCAAGTCGAACCAGAACGCAGAATTGATAGTCGGAATAGATAAACACTTGGCCATCACCCAGATCCAAGGTACTATTAGCCTTAGGGGCTTCTTGACAGACCAATTTCGCTTCCGTTGTTTTATACGACCTGTTCATCGTTTCAAGCGCTAAAGGAAGGGCGACCCATTGATTTGTAAACGGATTGCAAATCAAAAACAGTCTCCCAAGTTCGGGATCGTTTTCCGAACACGGACCATTAAATCCGCATAGGAGTAAGTCCTTGAAGGAATCCCAAACTACGAATTTGGATCGAATTTCTCCAGGCACGGGGAGGAAGCTCAGGATCGAAGACAGGGGGTGGTCGTCGGAGGGGAGAAGCAGAGGCGGTTCGCCTCCGGTTTCGTTCTTGCTCTGGTGGTGGGAAACGAAGCGGCGGCTGAAGCAGGGTCTGGAGATCAGGGAGTTCCATCGCTTGCATACTGGTCTGCAACGGGATGTGAATCTAGGGTTTGGGATGCGAATGAGGATTTCTTGGAGGAGATCGTCTACCAGTTTGATGATGGGATGCTCTGACCCTGTGAATCGGATTCGGAAACCTTTTATGGGAGGACGAAAGAGATCAGTTTTTGTATCAGTAAATTCAGATATTGCCGGCAAGCGCCGTTTCTTGGCCGACCTGTAGCTTTTGACGGTCGTCATTAATGTACCGATGGAAAGGACGATGAACAGAAGTACGAAACCAGATGATATATTGCTTTTTTTTTCCCCAACTCCTAATAGTAATCGGAGATTGTGCGTTCCGTATTGTGAGCCGAACGTCAATACGGCCTGGAATTCGTGGGTTAGCCAGCCCACTTCTGATATTGGCTATTAACTGGGCCTGATTTTACCGAATTTGTATACGCTCAATTTTCTTTTTTCCAGAAATGTACATTGGAGCAAACTGATAACGGTTTGTATTTTTTTTGTCACATATAACGGTTTGTATTTAAATCTCATCTTTCTTGGTTTTATAAAATCATACAATTTCTCGTTTATTAAGAGTACTTTATAATTCGTTACCGGCTTCCCGAATATCCTAAGATATTGACCATTGTTCAACAAAAGGGGAAAATATGCAACCTACTAATATGATACAAATGCATAACATGTCCAACTATACGGCTTAATTGCAAGTTTGGTCACTCGAATTGCTATAAAATTTTACGTTTGCCACTTAAATTAATTTATTCCATTTATAGTCACTCGAATTAGTTGAACAGTTCAAGTTCGGTCACTCTCCGTTAACCTCCGTTAACTTTGATTGACGTGGCGGTCAACTCTGACAGTTGACCGTTAAATGTGTGACGTGGCAAATAAAAAATAATTAAAAAATAAAAATTAAATTTTTAGAAATTACACATCATTATCAGAAAAAACTATAATTATAAAAATAAAAAGAAGAAATTATCACAAAAAGAAATTACACATCATTATCACTAAGAAATTATAAAAAAAACAAACAGCAAAAAATTCCTTCCAGATTTGTGACAAACATACCACAATCTGCTTCAGCCTGCTGTTATCTTCCTTGAGGTAATTCAGCTCTGAGTTCCAGCTCCATTGTATATGCATGTTTCCTAGCCCTCGACCTTGCTGCAGATTCTCTGTTCTTGATCATCCTACGCTGCCTTCTCTCCACCAAAACCTTCGGCGGCCCGTCGATGATTCCGCTGAACTCACTCGACGATGCTTCCCCAACATTATAAGCTTTGCTAGGGTTCATCATCATGTGGTACGAACCAAAGCAGCCGGTCACATTCGAGAAGTTGTTACCATTTGTACCATGGAAAGACCCTAATGTTGGTGCCTCCAATTTCAACTGATGTAGCACTGTAGATGATGATGATGATGGTGAAGTAGTTGCACTGCTTGGTGGTAATTTTGCAGCAGCTTCTTGAACTACACCGGCTTGTACGAAGAATTCCTCCAATGTCATGTTTCCTAAAGACTGTTGTCTCTCATGGTCATGGGGGATCACATTGGTGCTGTCTGCAGGTTTCAAGTGACTGGGGAAATGGATGGTCCTCCATCCATAGTGGACAGGGGAGCTGCGCACCATGGCGTTTCCGGTGGGCCTGCAGTCGTGGATGAAGACGTTGGTGACGAACTGGATGGTGATGCAAGCGCCATTGGCGATGTGGACGTTGGCTCCCCTGCCGTCGACTGTCTTAAAGCTGTTCATGATGAGCTCCTGCTTCAGCGTGATCACCATGTCCCTCTCGAACACGATCCACAGCGGCCTGTCCTGGATCACGGCGTGGCGGAGCGTCCCGGGCCTCGGATTTACGGGGTCATCGTCGCGAGGATCCGTGACCACGTAGTAGCGGCCGTCTCGGCCACCGATGGCGCTTGCGGTGGGATTGCCAGTTGGGGTCGCATCGCCAGCAGTCGTCGATGGGATTGCCCGTGGAACAAGACAAGTATCCCAACTTCCTTCTCGCCGTGCTGTTCCTAATGCTCCTGTAAACAAAGATTCATGGTACGTAACAGATTAACAGCTAATCTAAAGAGAATGGGGAAATATAACGATTAATGGCTTCTATAATGTGGGAGATGGAGCAATTATGGTTGGGAAGGATTCTTTTTTCATTTTTTATAATTATAATTTTTTGTGATAATGATGTGTAAATTCTAAACATTTAATTTTTATTTTTTAATTATTTTTTATTTGCCACGTCACACATTTAACGGTCAACTGTCAGAGTTGACCGCCACGTCAGTCAAATTTAACGGAGGTTAACGGAGAGTGACCGACTTGAACTGTTCAACTAATTCGAGTGACTATAAATGGAATAAATTAATTTGAGTGGCAAACGTGAAATTTTATAGCAATTCGAGTGATCAAACTTGCAATTAAGCCCCAAATATACATACATGTCCTAGACAAAATAACATCATAAAATGACATAGACGTTCACACAAAGCACCTACATTACATCATATTCACATCCCTGAAATGATAATCAGTCACCCAAAGGGAAAAATAACTTCGCCAACAACAGCTCAAAATAGCTGAACTCGTTGTTCCACGAACCAATTGAAACCATAACCTCAAAAGAGTTTCGAGGAATCGAGTCCAAAAGGGACATGTAGTCAGCATCGTCAAGATCCTCGTCAGTCACTAACCCAGCAACGATTTTGCGTAAGTAGGACGATGGGAAAACAACTTCAACGTCGGCATACTCATTCACAATAGCTAAGTGGATGCAATACATGTCAGATGCAGGACGCCAGATTTTCCACCAACCGATCACACGTCCAGAAAAAGGTAAGAAGTAGCCCGATGTTTAAAAACAATAATCATAACATCTGATAATTTACTCACCTTAGCAAATACTAACTACAAAAAAGGTATGATGAATGACGAATTAATGATAAGCAAAATTTGTATAACCTCAGGGTCCGGATTCGGTTGGAAGAATGTAAGATCAATTGAATCAGAAGGCTCAGATATCACTACAGCATCCTCGTAGGTCAGAGATGCAACGAAACCATTACCAATCATAAAATCCCTATACAGAATTCATTAGTAGCTTGCGTCAATAGGGAAAGGTAAATTCAGTTAATATGTTTTAGATTGCAGGGGAAACCAATACTTAAGGATACCATTCATGCACAGGATCCATTGTGATTAAACTGCACGAAAGAATGAATAATAGTAAACGTAAGTTTTTGAAAGTAACCGAGACTGCTGAATCGGAGTTTCAAAGGCAAAGATGACAGCAGCATCTACTCCATCCAACAAAATAGTTCAAGATCATGGTAGATAAATTACCTGGAGCGGGGGAAAGGATTAGATTCGCTAGTTTGATCAGAAATCCACTCCGGCGAGGACAATGCACATGCCTCCTACCACTACCCGCAAGGTTAGACCATTGGATCGGGATATGATAAACCAACCACACCAGCCGCTCGCTGCTTTCAGAATGCCGGAGACGAGAGTAAGGCGGAGTATTCGTCTACTGAGGAGAGGGAAGAAGGAAGACAAGGCTTCTCCTAGAGCTGAGTTGGTAGTTAACTCAAAATTTACCATAAATACACGTTCTCGGTTGGTTAACTAAAAAATAACAATTATAATTACAAAAAATACAGCTGTTATGCGCTTGGGCCGCAATGGGCCTAGTAAATAGGGCCTGCTTTGCTAACTATTTTCTAGTCCATACATTAACCTGGACTAATGGGCCCTTAGTTAGAATGAGCTAACCATCACCACTCTCACCAAATGACAATGACATTCCTTTCCTAAACTGCAGCGCGCCGGCCAATTTTCTATTGTTGGGCCTTTTCAATTGGGCTCGCTTAGTGAAGCATCAATTACGAATAATTAAAAATTAAAACACGATCCCATTCCACTTGATTTAACAGTAATTAAGAATAAAAATACAACAACGACATGAAAAATTTATAACAAATCTGAACATGGATTTAGAAGAATAATCGTTGCACACATATATACATGAAAAATAAGAAAACTGGCCTAATGCCTCCAGCATAACATAACTTTGTAGATAGTTTACAACTTAGATACAATATAGTAAAGGACCTGGGGAAAAAAAAACCAAACACTATTTATAAACCACCAAGGTGAAGAAACATAAAACCCACATTACGCTGCTTGGAAATTGAAATAGCTTTCAGCTTCAATACCCTAGACTTTCAACCATAATATATAAATAAATCCCAATACAAATGAAAGAAACGCAGCTAAGATAGCTAAAGTTAAAACATAAAATAATTCTAATTTGAACACGAAAAACCAGCAAACAACCCATACGTAAATAGAATGTTCAAAAAGCATAAAGACAAACTAAAAAATCATTTGTTCACTCCTCACAAAATCAAACCAGCAAAGAGAAAATATCAAATAAACAATTACTCAAAACAACATGGAAACTCTAGCGATCAAAGGGACGAAACACCTTCTCGAGCACCAAATCACAATGATACGATCTTGGATTCCACGGACCGACATTGATTATAAAGTGATATTGATTTCCATGGATAGCTTCTACTACGGCCTCCAAGAGTACCCTATGAAGGAAGAATAGCTAAACAATATTGTTGTGGAAATCTTACTTAATTGGATTAATGATCTTCCCAACTAAATATACAAGTACAGGAGGCTTTGTAGCCAACAATACAGGGCACGTACAGGTCACGTCCCACATAAGTAGCAACAGAATGGAGTGGGGTGAATAAATAAATGAAAGGAATAAATTCCTTTTATGTTGTACTGCTAATACGCCCCCGCAAGACGGTGTTTGAATCGACAACACCGAGCTTGGATCTGAGAAGCAAGAACCGCATGGGCGGTAGAGGCTTGGTGAGGGTGTCAGCGAGCTGGTGAGCAGTCGGGATATAGGAGACCTGGAGACGACCAGCCTGGACTAATTGACGTACGAAGTGATAGTCCAAGGCGAGATGCTTCATGCGGGAGTGGAATACCGGATTGGAGCTGAAATAGGTGGCACCCAAGTTGTCGGAGTAGAGGGTCGGAGAGGATGATAAGGGATGATGCAACTCGAGAAGTAGATTTTGAACCCATTCCAACTCTGCAGTGGCATGGGCGATAGCGCGATACTCAGCCTCGGTGCTGGACCTGGCGACAGTGCGTTGCTTTTGAGACCGCCATGAAATGAGAGTAGAGCCAAGATAAACAAGATATCCAGAGGTAGACGATCGATCATCCAAATCCCCGGCCCAGTCTGCGTCGGCGAAGGCAGAGAGAGATAGAGAACCGGGAGTGCGGCAGATGGAGAGACCATGTGAAAGAGTGCCAGAGACATAGCGAAGTAGACGCTTGAGGCACTGCCAATGATGAGCGGAGGGAGCATGCATGAACTGGGGCAGTTTGTTGACAGAGTAAGCGATGTCTGGGCGAGTGTAAACCAAGTATTGGAGAGCCCCAATTACTTGACGAAAACGAGTAGCATCCGTAGCCGGGGAGCCATCATGAAGTGAGAGAGACACAGAGGCAGCAAGCGGTGTGTCGGCAGGGTTGAGATCAGTCAGCTGAAACCGGTGGAGAATATCAACCATATACTGATGCTGAGAGAGGAGATAACCAGTAGCAGTAGGAATGACTTCAATACCAAGAAAGTAATGAATGTCACCAAGAGCCTTAAGGGAAAACCGGGCGGAGAGAGCCTGTTGAAATAAGCCAAGTGTGTGGGAGTCATTCCCAGTAAGAAGCAGATCATCGACATAGACCAAGAAGTAAAGCAGATGGGACCCATGAGAGTAGACGAACAGGGAGGCATCAGAGTGTGTCTTTGTGAATCCAAACTCAAGAAGGAAGTCAGTCAAGGCCGTGTACCAAGCCCGAGGAGCCTGACGAAGACCATAGATAGCCCGGCGAAGACGACACACATGATGAGGGTGAGCTGGATCAATAAAGCCAGGGGGCTGAGACATATAAACCTCCTCCTGTAATGGAGCTTGCAGAAAAGCATTATTAACATCAAACTGCAAAATAGGCCAATTATGAGAGAGAGCGATAGTGAACACGGTGCGGACCGTGACCGGTTTAACCACCGGACTAAACGTGTCACCAAAGTCAATGCCAGGGCGCTGATGATAACCCTTGGCCACAAGACGAGTCTTGAACCTCTCAATAGTACCGTCAGAGTGGTGCTTGACACGGTAAACCCATCGATTACCAAGGACATTATAGTGCGGAAGGCGAGGCACTAAGTCCCAAGTGCAATTTGCAAGAAGAGCACTATTTTCAGCAGTAAGGGCCTCACGCCATTCCCTATACGCAAGGGCCTCACGCACGGAGCGAGGGTGAAGAGGAGGAGCTGGGCCGGAAATGACAGTGGCAAAAAGCCTCTTCTTAGGCTTAAAAATGCCCGATTGGGCCCGAGTCCTCATTCCATGGGAGCGAACAGGCGGAGGCAATGGGCCTGGCAGGGGACGCAGCCCAGCGGGCGGTGTGTGAGGCGCAGCAGAGAGGCCGGATGGGCCTGCGGTGGATGGGCCAGGTGGAGACGGCCCAGTGGCAGCGGAATCTTGCTGGGGGGAAGCAGAGGCCGAGGAAGGAATAGGCCCAGGTGATGTCGTATGGGCCGGCAGAAGAGTAATGTGTGGCGTGGAGTCCATGAGCCAGGCAGCAGGAGGGGGAAGCTCATCAGTAGAGGAAGTGCAATATCCTGGAAATTTATCCTCAACAAAAATGACATGGCGAGAGTAGAAAAAACGGTGAGAGGCAGAGTCAAAACAACGATAGGCACTACGTTGAGGACAATATCCAAGAAACAGACAAGGACGAGAACGTGGAGCAAGTTTATGGGGTGCATAAGGTCGAAGCCAAGGGTAACACAAACAACCAAAAACACGGAGTTTATGATAGTTGGGTGATAGATTGAAAAGGAGGGTGTATGGAATTTTACCACGTAGGGCGGATGAGGGGAGACGATTGATAAGGTAAATGGCGGTGGAGAAGGCAAAAGACCAAAGGGAGAGAGGAAGTTTGGCGTGATGAAGAAGCGTTATACCGGTTTCAACCAAATGACGATGTTTTCGTTCAGCAAGCCCATTATGTTCAGGTGTATGGGGAGGAGTGAGAAGATGGGTTATACCATGTTTAAGAAGATCAGGGCGAAGTTTTTGAAATTCACCACCACCGTCAGTGTAGAGGCGACGAATGGTAGTAGAAAAATAATTCTCAACCATCTTCCTGAAATCAAGAAAAACTTGGAGCACATCGGATTTACGACACAAAGGATAATACCAAGTATATCGAGTAAAGTGATCAATGATAATCAAATAGTAACGATATCCATCAATAGAAGTGACAGGGGCAGGTCCCCAAACATCCGTATACAGAAGATCAAAAGGACGTTCACTAGACAAAGTCGAGATGGAAAAAGGCAGTTTGTGACTTTTATTCGAAAGACATGCATCACAGGACGAACTAGTGAGCGGTGAGGAAACTGGAAGGGAAAAAGAGCGAATAAGACTGGTAAGGGATTGAAGAGAAGGATGACCAAGACGAGCGTGCCACGACGTCGTAGAAGTTCGAGTGGTGACCATGGCCATGCGAACATGCTCCACCTCCCGCGGCAATTCATAGACATCACCGTTGTTTTCCCCCCTCAGCAATTGCGCCCCTGTGCGAAGATCCTTCACAAGAAAATGAGTGGCAAAAAATTCCACCGACACTGGGTTAGTTTGGCATAACTTAGCAACGGAGATGAGATGTCGCTTGATGGTA